CCATTGTGCCGCGCCAATCATTATTAATTAACATCGCTCAAACGACCTCCCCCCCCGCGAGAAAAAAAAACGCGAAACCCCCCACCCCCCTTGGGATTCTATACGTACGGACACACCTGCGCGCCAATCCGGCGAAAATTGCGCGCAATTTGCGCGAAAATAAAATCAAAATGGACGGGCACGACGCGCGTACGGCGGATTCGAAAAGGCAGCCTGATTCTCGCCAGGGCGGATGCACGCTTCGAGTGGCTAATTTTCTTCCTTCTCTCTTCGCTGACCCCTCTCATCCCCGCCGACCTCTTCTCTACCCGTGATTTCCCGTCCTCTTTCCGCGGTGATCTCATCTCTTTCTTTATCTCTCTCGAGGACGAGACGACCAGTGCTTTGATGGAGGACATCTCGCCGCTAATTATGATTAATTTGTGAGACGAGCGTGCGAGGACCTCGAACCCGGGAGCTACCGGGGGCGCAGGGGATCAGGATGCAGAAGGGAAAGGGTTGGGGAAAAGAGGGGGAGAGGACGTAATTAATATTCTCAGCAGGACAGCGTTGCAACGTCACGTGAACGTCACCCAGGTGACTCCGTCGATGATTTCCCCGTTCCGAGTCCGTTGAGCCTCTTTCGGTCCGCGTAATTACGCGTTCGATATAATTGCACGATGATTATTCACGACTGGTTATCCCGTGCGTCATTAATGCTTGCGTTATTAGACGCGAGCGAAAGCGCTCGCTTGCGTTTGGAATGGAAATTACGCGTATTCGTATATGTATTTAACTTCTTTGTCCTGCAAATTCATTCGGAAGATTGATGGACGAAAAATTTTTTGAAAAATTCTAAAAGTAAAACTTTTGTCCCGTACTGTTGCGGAACAAATAAAAGTATACTTTTCGATTCCATAATTTCACGGCTTCTTGATTCAGTAGATTATCGCTGCATTTCAAATTAATCTCTTGAATTAACTTCAAGCAATGAGTTTATCTTATATATGTTTTATTCATGTAAACGATACATGTGTACACTCATAAAAGATAACACGTATTCAGATGAGACTCAGATGTTTCCTCGAAATGAATTAATAGACATGCGATATAATCTCGCGGTAGTAATTCGCGACAATGATCTCGCTTTAATGCGTGTATTATTTAAAGATAAAGCGTCTCTGTGCAAGATTATAAAAGATTGCGATTACTCAGAACAGATAAAAATGTATAATGTATTTGATTATTAAATAAACTGTTTGTTTTGAACATTCTTGATTCTTTGGATTTTAAATTCCATTATATATATATATATATATATATATATATATATATATATATATATATAATTCTATGTCATAATCTTAAAAATTACAGATCTCTGACTCTATAGATATTTTAAATCCTTAATCAATACACAATATTCAAGTTATTTTTTTCATATTATTTTTATCAATAAATTTCCTGTATCCACATAAATTAGAACCTGTATAAGAAGAAAAAGAGAAGAGTGATCAATCTGTCAATTAAAGTCGCTAGTTCTGGTTGAATTATAATATAATTGCGCGATCATTATTCATGATTGGTCAGCTACTTTCTTTAATGCGCGCATTGTTAGACAATAGCGTTCTTTGGATTTATAAAAAAATGTAATATCGTATATATAAAGAGATTTGGTATTGAGGAAATAATTTTGATTAGATTAGATATGCGCTAAGAATATTGCGAAAATTAATATTTCAAACAGAAGTACAAAATTAATGCCGATGTTTTCATAATTTTATTTCGATATTTTAAAGTCTCGCAATATACCATAATTGCATGTTCAATATAATTGCGTAATAACAATTACAGTTAATTACTGCTTAATACGAATTAAATTGTGCTGATGTCACGAGGCCACGATAGTTTTATCGTTTTTCGAATTGCGTGTGATCGTAATTATAAGTCTAATATAATTATCGAATAATTATCGGTAATTATTTAGTAATCCGAGGTCAATTGTCGCTGTGTGGAATTGAAAAACCATTTATAAACTTCTGACAAGGAAATTCCTTCAGGTAATAATCGCCGATTTCGTGAAAAATTATACTACACTTATAATCAAAATGTAATTATCGAAAATAATTCTGAGAAACGCTAATTAAAACTTCAAGGTGATTACTCATAAAAAGAACATCATACTTTTCTTAATAATAGATAGTATAATAATACTACCTGAAAACGCTCTATGTCATTATTCATTATTACTTAAAATATGTGTATATAAATTTGTTTATAGTTTTTTTAGTTTTTAATTTCATTATACGCGAAATTTTCTACACAAATATATTTTTATATTTGTGTGAAATTAATATTCTATTTTTAGAATCTAGATATAATTAATAGAAGTATATTAGAAAATTTTATGACTGTGTGTGAAAGATTCAAAACTGTATCATCTTATATTGAAATTCTAAAACTCAGGTAATAATTTCACAGAGAAAATCAATATTTTATATATATATTTTATTTATATAAACAACTTGAGGATGAGCTCTCATTTTAAACGAATACACGTAAATATTATCGACTTGCGATATAGTATATCGGTGATTATATTACACCAACCAATTCACGTCTAAAGAGAGGGAGAGAAATAAGAGAGGGTCCACAATGGCGTGGCGAAAGGGTTAATTACATGCGTCTCGACGATGACGAAGACAAATACCTATGTGTGATTGCTAGTAAAATTGTTGAGTTTTCGATCAGCTGGCTCTATCGTGAGCTAAATTTCTCAATGTGCTAACCGCTGACGATGTTCATTAAATTGATCCCCCGAAATTACATCGAATTCGGTAAAATCTGTTTGTGTCTCATACTGTTGACGATTCAATAAATACAAAAAACTTATTTCTCGCGACTATGGATCATTCTCCGTTAGACTTGCGAGCGAACGTAGATTATCTCACGTTTCTCTGGCACGATGCCAATGATTGGATTTAAATTCGTGTCGCGTAGTTTATGCGATACCCCACATGTCTCGAACGGATATTTCTCTTGTAAATTATGTATACTATGTCTTTCCATATATATATATTTGTTATAGAGTTTCGATAGATAATGATGTCTTTCTACAATCGACTCTTATAATTAGATGAAAGAAATTTCTCGTTGTTTTGTACATTAAATTTCTTAGCTTTCTCTTTTATATAAACGTACCACTGTGCTACTTATAATTAATTTATAAATTAATATAATATATTAATATAATATATATTGGAAATTTCCATTGTCAATTTTGTACATTAAATTTCTTAAGCTTTCTCTTTTATATAAGCGTACCACTGTGCTACTTATAATTAATTTATAAATTAATATAATATATTAATACAATGTATATTGAAAATTTTCCATTTAAAGACATGGATATATCAGTTAGAAAATATTTTTATATAATTTTGTTTCTAGATGTATAAAGATTAATATAATTTCTATACTCTCTCTCTAATTCTCATAAATATTCCATATCCTTATATTTTGTTTACTTGTTCTGTTTAATCGATTATTAAATTCATATATTTTCGACACAAATATTCTTTTCTTATCAGTTAATTATTTTGTTAATGATATTATCATAACAGCAAATCATTTGTTTTCAAAAAATCATGCAAGTTAAATCAGAAATGCCATCAATAGAGGAAAAAGAAAATATTATGTTTGAAGGGAAACACACAAAAATTGTGAAGCTTAGTTAAGAGTTTTCAAAAAATGTATCCGATTCAATCTTCTCTATTTCTTTTGAAAAATATAATAATCTTCAAACACAAGCTAGATTTAAATTCATATATTCTCGAATGTCTGTCGGGCCAAGGGCAACTTCTTAGATACGATTGTTGATCTTTCGCACTCTTGCTGAGCAATCCGACTCACGAAACCGACAGCGAAGGTGTCACGCCTAGTAGCCGTGGCTAGCCTCCCATGTCGAGAGAAATTTTAATAAACGGTTGTTCGGTACACGCCGATCCCGCACGCATAACGTACGCGGCAAAGTGTGGAGGTGTTGCCTGGTAGCCGGTAGGACGACGCGGCTGAGGGGGAGAGGTTAATCACCCACGCTGGATTTTAATAAACGGTTCGGGGGGCAAACAAAGCTGGCCATCAATAACCACGGCGCTGCCTCTGTCTCTCTTTTTCTCTTTCTCTCACCTTCCCTCGTTCATATATGCTTCGTCTTACTCCCTTCTTTCCAACGCCGAGGTTCCAACGGCCCACTACGCCAGGCTGACCGACCCGCGGCCATGCCAGGGCCTTTGCCACCAGCTTGTCGAGCCTCGCAGCAGACAGCGAGATAGGCGGAGATCGTATCTCCGTGGTTATTAATTAACCGGCGAGAAGGGAAGGCCCCCTTTCATCACCTCGCAAACGATCTCGCCTTCAGCGAGAGAGGGCTTTCGGCCTTGCTCTAGCATATAGATAGCGCATACAGACGCAACTCGGGGAATTTCGCTTGATAAATCCGATCTCGTGTCCAAAGGGACAGATCGTTACGAGTGTGAATGGGATTCATCGAAATACGATTTACGCATTGTACGTGTGTTCTTAAATATATCACCGAGATTTTCGAATATCAAACGAGACGATTATGCGATTAATTTATTAGTCTACACGAAATGCACGAGGAATGAAAAATATTAGTAACGAGCACAAAGTTATAATATTTTATTATTCGAAAATTTAAAAAAAAAATATCGTTTTTCTTTTATATTTTATCTTATCTTAAAAAATTGATATCTTGCATCTGTAAATAAAATTTTTAATTATCATTATCAGTCCCCAGAGATATCAGATTAATTATTAATAAAAAATGTACGCGAGAAGTATAGGTACAAGTAATAATTCTGATTCAGCAAAAAATGCAATTATCTTCCACGATATGGAATTTAATGCGGAAAAAGTAAAATATAATTCAACGAGATTCGCACGTCTGAGATATCTCGCGGAAAAATCAATACGAGACGCCGCAGATAATGAGCACTTACCCGTTTATGGACGTTCGACTGATGAACCAGGATAACGCCGACCGGGCTAACGAGTGCCAAGCTTGCAGAGGTAACGAGTCGGATCTCTCCGCGGATCTCACGAGGAAAATTTCGGCGGCTTTGTCGGGTTGGTCGGCATTGGGACCGGTGCCGAGTGGAACCCATAGATCCAGCAAATCTTCTCTGATCTTGCTTTTGTCTACTCTATACCACTGTAAAAATATGTTACACTCTTGTGTATCTTCTTAAATAATAAATTAAATTAGTACAAATTTATCTTATCGAGATTTTTACGCAATACTATATGAATAATACTGAATTATTCATTATTTTTATTTTAATATTATTAGATATTAAATCAATTAATAAAAATTAATTTCTATATGCATGATTTCGTTAAATATTAAACGTCTAAACCTTAATATAAGCTAAAATTACACAATGATTTTCTACAATGATTTTTTAGTTTTATAAAATTTTATGGAGTTTTTGTTTAATTTTATGTATATATATATATATATATATATATATATATATATATGTGTAAATTTATATTTATATACATACAGTTTTATGTAACATTTGAAGAAAAGTATATGTGGTACTCGGGTATAATGTCTCAATAAAAAAATTGATTCTTTCAGAATTTTATGCAATCTTGTGGACGAAATCATTCGATCGCCAAAATCATCGCGCCATACAAAGTACATCAATTTGCGGGAATAAAATTCGCGAAGCTCCAGCACATTCCATTAACGTCCCACCGGGTGGGCCGCCGAAAATGTATTTCTCGCTTCATTACAACCGCATATTACGGTATTAACGACGTATATATTCTTTGGCCGTGAATCAATTTTTCCCCTCGAAACCGCACGACATTTCGAGAGTTTGCGCAATTACGTGCTGCCAGATTTCTCTCTTCCCTCATTTCTTTCTCTCGCTTTTGGAAACTACATACGTCATCGACGAAAGGATGACGCCCATCGTTCGGAGTTTCAACGTAAAAATAAAAACTCGCGAGATTTTATATTTCATTAAGGCGCCATATGCGACCGGGAGACGTTTCCCATTGCGTCGGTTGAATATTTTTCGCTTCATTATCAGAGGTGCGTATCGCGACATTAACGATGCTCTCCCCTCCCCGCATCTCTCGTCCTCGAAAAGAACCGCGAAACGCCACACAGTCCGAAAAGCAATTATGTTGACCGGTCGGTCCGTCCACCGGGTTCTGCTCTACACGACAGATATCCGATTTCACCGTCAGCTTCCGAGAATAAGAACCAATTACGCGGCCCCGGGGCATTAAGGAATCGATCTAATTTGCGCGCGCGAGGCGCGGCGCGGGGCGAAGTGGCGGCTATTAATGGCGAGAGAGCCGGCCGATGAAATTATACGAAAATGTAATCAAGGCGCTTTTTGTCTCGTTTCGCTCCGAGCAGGGCAGAAGCGTAATTAGGAATGCTTTTGCGCCTCGCGACGGGGGACACTTGTTGCTCGCTCCGCTCCTCTCCCGCTCCCTCATTTTCTCTCGCCTCTGTCTCTCTCTCTCTTATTTCACCCTTTCATCTTCCTTCATCTCGCAATCGTTAATCGCTACTTCTCGTTTCTCTTTTTCCCCTTCTCTTCCCGTTGTAAATCTCTCTCTCTCTCCCTTTCTCTGTCCTGCTCTCGCGCGGTTCTTCGGTAGTCGAGTGGTCGAAAAAGGAGAAGGAGCCAGCGAGGGAAAAAAGCCGAGAGATGGAAGGACCTCGCCACAGAAGGAGAGTAATTAACACCCAGGTGCGCGGCCCTAAGAAGTCGTTTATGGATTGCTCGGCTGCCGCGGCCACGTAGCCGGCCATCAATTAGATTCTCTAATTAAAACAGTCCGCTCATCCCGCCGCGGCGCGGCACACATTAACTCTGCCGGCCTCACCAATCGACTTTGTCATCGTCCACCGGGCGGAGGCGCGACGGATTGTCACGTTTCTTGTTCGAGGGCCCGAGCAGCTTGCCCGGCATCGATAAGACCCCGCGATATAACACCTCGAGTCATTTACGATATGAGAATGTCGGACTTTTGCAAAATGTTTTCGATCGATATTGGATGAGTAATCGTGTTTCGAACGAGCTTTTCTTACGTTTTATATCCTTCTAGGGTGGGATCATTTTGGATGATTCAAAATAATCTTATGATGCACAGTGAATCGCGAAATTTAATATAAACGGGAACATAATTTGACCTGTAATGCACTTTTATTCGCAAAATTTTATTTAATATAAATTTATTATATAGAAATGCATTATAATGTACGTATCAATAAAATATTCTATTGCTGTTAACTTATTATACATTAGTGTAAAAAACACATTATAGAATTAATAATTCACTAATGTATCAAATGCTAAATGTCTCTATTTATTAGAATCACTGAAAAAGAAAGAAAAAGAAACAACAACAATCGCCTTAAATAATTAAGTAAAAAATCAAATGATAATTATAGCAAAATATCTTTATAACGCTTAACGCTGAACATTTTCCGTTTCCATTTTGTCATCACACTTTGATTTGACTTTTTCCCCGGGGTATTACAAATGGCTACTGACGTGGTCGCGCGCGCTGCCGGACAGCATTCCTCTTCGTGTCATTAGTGGCGCGGACTTTCTGCGCAGCGCGGGACTCGAGGAAAGGAAGGAAGGAAGGAAGGAAGGAAGGAAGGAAGGAAGGAAAGGATCTGTTGGACGGAGAAACGCAGACGAAGAATCGCGAGACAATCGACTCCGTGTTGCCTTCCGTGTAGCACGCACCAATCGCCTCTCGGCACCGACAACAAGTAGCCGACTCGGAAATCGCAGCCATCTAAATCAACGTCGCGAGTTCACCGCGACGAACGGACGAAATAACGTCGAGAGATTTGACGTCCTCGAATCCTCGCGAGATACGCCATTTTAGAGATTCTAATTTAAGCGAAATATAAATGACACGATAATTTTTATTTTTCACAGCATATTGTGAATATTTATTTTAATAATGAAACTTTTCGACGAAAGAAGATTATCATCTCTAAAATTCGTGACTGTTTGTTTCACGTAAAAAATTTCGATAGAGATGAAAGAGTATTGTATATAAATTGTATATCGAAGAATGTGCATCGTTATAGAGATGCGAGCACAATTTTATAGTTTCAAAATATAAAATAACATAACATAAAATAACAGGGTAGCACGCGTTCTTCTTACGTGATTATGCCGTCCCCCTTGTAACAACGGCGAGAAGAAAGTCTCGCTCTATGATTTCAGATCCACGAGTGGAGTTCGTTGATCATCGCGGAGTTACGTTTGAAGATGCACTTCGTCCGAGATGGTTATGCGCCGCTTTATACCGCCGCGGAACGATGCATAGGAAAACTTGTAAAACGTAAACGTAGAGATATAAACTGCGATGTTAAGTCATTATTTAGACGCTAAGACTGTGTTTCGCGACATGCTCTTGCTAAATCGATGTAATCGAATTATTTTTACTCATTGCGTCGGTCATATGTATCACAGCTACAAATCAGCTGGATCTTAATTCTTACAATATACTCGTATAACATATAACTTACAGACAAACATGTTTGATATAGCCTTTATTTTTTAGTATTTTAATAGTATTATTCTCTATAGTATTATTTTAATAGTGTTATTCTCTATAGTATTATTCATATTATTTATTTTTTATTAGTATTATTTAGTATTTTATTTCTTTGGTATTTTAATTTTATTTTGTCTTATTTTGTTAGTAATATATATATATATATATATATATATATATATATATATATATAAATTAGATATAAATTTTTGCAATTATAAATTTGATCAGAACTTAAAGTTTGTTCATTTTTCATTTTAATAAACAAAAGTATAAATACTGATAAATATATACATAAAATCTTTTATCCATTTTTACAATTAAATCTCGAGTTAAAATTTTGAATTAAAATATCAAAAGCAAAAATAATTACTAAATAATAATTCATGTATCGAATGTTTACTATTACAAAGAAGGCTAATTCAATTTTCTAATAGAGAAAGGAAAAAGATGATTTTTTTTTATTAAAGATTAAGATCAATATGCGTCTCTCTCATTTTGTCGAGCTATGCTCAAACACCCTAAGAGTTCCCGACAAGATCCAAAACTACCAGAGCTCTTCAACATCGTTCGCGCAGTCCAGGCTTCCTACTTCTTTTTCTCGCGTCCGGGGGGGACGAGAGAATTGAGCGGGGCACGCGTAAACCCGGCGCAAACTACGGACGATAAACAACGCCGCGTCGAGCGGTTTATGCTTTCCGCGCGGAATACATACTGGGGATGTTTGGCCCAGCACGGGGCTCCTCGGATTCCTGAGGCGTGTTGGATCGCGAGTCAAACGCATTCTCTTCCTGTGCCATTATGTTATTGCTGCCAGGGTGGCGGCAGGTCGACAGACGTTATATCGGCGCCGTGGGAGAGAAGCAGAGAGCTTCGTCTTTCAACAGATTTCTTTTTTTTCACTGAGAGAGCGAAAGAGCTTTTCTTTCCGTAGCAGGACGTGACTAGATTTCCCGCCTTACAAAGGAAATTCGATTGCTCGGAATCGAAATTAGAAGTTATCGAATAATAGCTCGTATGCAGAGATAAAAGTATGAATGAGACAAAAATAATTGCTCAAGGGATTGATATATATTTTTTTTTTAGAATATTAAAGTGTTTATAAAGTTTATGGAGAAGCTAATTTATTTTTTTTTTTATTTTTTTAAGTATAGAAATGCGTATTTAGTGCAGTGAAATGTTTGTCTAGCTTTGTCGACACTAATATCCTTGATTATATTTCTTAAAATATTTCATATTCTACTTCTCATCTCTTTCATGTCTAAACAATAATTTTTTAAATACTACTATTACTACTTTTATAAACACTGAATATTCCACGTCAAGGCATCAAATTGTGAAATTTTATTGAATGTAGGTAAAAAGCTTGTGAAACGCTCTGATGAAGAGCAGTCGGCGGGAAACTAAAGAAGAGTGATGGAAGCGCGAAGCAAACTGGTACCCCTTTCGCAAAAATCAAGGGAACGCTGTAGGAATATCTTGATTGGAAAAGCAACGGAGAGAGGTGTAACTAACCGTGAGAAGTTTCCATCGATGATCGACTAACGAAGCCGATCGCGCCTAGAATATCACTTCGTTTACGCCAAAAGGAGAGGCATT